AGACTGGGATCCTGCCATGATTTCCTGTGATGTACACCTGTTTTTCTTCAATGTGAAGTTATTCATAGCTCAAGTTTTTGAGGTCTTAAAAAAAACTTACAAAACAGTACATACAGAACCAAATTATAACAGCAGTAACACAAATGTTATACTTTTTGATTTATTAGATAAACAGTTGGCACGCTCATCCTCTTTAATGAATCAAACACAGCACACAGCTTTGTATTCAAAGTAATTTAATTTGCTTTTTTATGTGATGAAGACTACTATATTGGTGAAAAGTCAAGTTAGATAATGTTCTTTACTACATTAAGAAGTGTGATATTGGCTATAGCTTTTTGGGTAAGAATTTATATTCTACAAATGAAATATTTAATATCTGGCAGAGTTCTATTCTACTTGGATCTTCTGTGCTGATAAGATTGGAAGATGCTAACTTCTTTGTAAAGAGCAGCTAAAATAGTGGCCAATTGTCTTACAATCTGGGCTGTAGAATGAGAAATAATGAAGAGAAAGAGTAAGTGCTTCTAAATAAATATTTAAAAACAGCACTTATTCTCTCAAATTTGTGTCCTTCCTTGATTACTAGAATTACAAACTCTTAACACCTGTTTTCCAGGCATGCACCGCAGTTAGAAAAGTGCAGAATTGTCAATTTTTTGGTTTCTGTATTTCAATCCAAATGAATATTCATCTGCTAATTCAACCCTGTGTGTGTGTGTGTGTGTGTGTGTGTGTGTGTGTGTGTGTATGTGTATGTTTATAATTGACTGTTTATTCTTATCCCAGTGTAGAAAAATCATGGTGTAGAAAAGTTTTAGAAGTTTTTGAGAATTGTTGTTTATAAAATGATTACATCTCACTTCTTGTGTATAATCTAAGATGACACAACTCATTCATTTATTTTTTTAAAAAAAGTTGAATTATTATTATTCATTTATTTAAAAATAATTGAATTTAATAAGAATCCTTTACTTGTAGGCTGGATGATTCTACATAATGCCACCTAATTTGTTTAATATTCTTCACTTTTAAATTGGTAACTTTGGCTGCTATAAGACTGACAGAAATACATAATTGCTTTAGATACCAATAATGAGTTCAGTAGACGGGCAGAGGGATTATAAACAAAGTTTGAAGTACTGTATTTTTAAAATTTGAAATGTTATCTAGCATTAAGAAAATTTTGTAAAAGTTAGTTGCGATCCTAAAAGAAATCTATTAGTGTCTGGAAGCATATTACTCACCTTTTTGCTATGAAACAAGAAAGAAAAATAGAGTTTGTTAACCATGGGAATATAGAGCAAAAATTACAATCAGTGGGCATTTCCTATTTCTCTTGTTCCTATTTACTTGAGGCACCAATTTACTTAGACAACTAGAGAAGACATGTTTTATACGGTTTTCCTCCTTAGAGTCCTAGACTTTAATCACTTGCATATGGTTGAAAGAGAATGTGTTTCTGTCAAAGGATTTCTCAAGCTTCTTTCTTTGGCAACAGAATGAGCTAGGAGTTCACAGAGACGAGTGGAAGACTTCAGACTTCAACAACAAATAGGCCTGAGTTCGAAACCTATTCTTGCTACCTGATATCTGTGTATTGTTGGGAAGTTACTTGTTTTTGTACATGAGTCACTATATCTAATTCTAGAAAAATGAGGTAATAAATTCTGTTCACATTATTATAATGATTATGTGATAAGATGCAAACTGACTCAACATAAATATCACTTGCTTACGCTTTTTATATCTGCAGAAGGAATAGAGACAGTGACAACCTTCCCATTGTAATATCTTTGGGGCTAGGAGATCAATTGTATTTTTCTTTCTGTGTTTAAAAGATTTAGCCTGGCATCTTGTCCATAGTACATGCTCCATAACTGTGGATTAAATTAAATTAAATCTATTTTTTATATTGAGGTGAGCAATTGCTAAATTGTACAATGTGTAATTGATAAATATATTTTCCTGTGATGGAAGGGCTAAGAAGATACAAAAATAAAGGCAAGGGGCATTTTTACATCATAAAAGTAAAACTATAATTTAGGTTGATAATATTTAAAGCAAGTTAATTGACCAAAGTCTGTGTTATTCTAGATGTTTTCTCTTTCCATAATAAAGATATTTTATCCCATAACTCTTCATGATCATGGGAAGTTACTTGTGCTCTAACTTTCACTTTCTGATTTATATAACAAAAGATTTGAACTAGATGATGTGCAAATTGCCTTTTATTAAAAAGTATTAAACTTTTGTAAACTATAAACAACTCAAAAGTTTTTTTTATTATAACCAGCCCTCTTATGCTGTCCTATTTTTGTCTACTCTTGTGTATCTCTATATTTCTCGATGAATTTAGTCATATATATATGTGCATATACACATATTCATGTATAGAAAGTACACATATGCACATACATGTGTATATGCATGTGTGTGTGTATATATGGGATATGCACACTGCATTGCAAGCTTTGAAATGACAGTATTATTAAAATGTTTTTCTGGCTTTTTTCTCTCAGTTTTATGTTCTTAATGTTTGATAATAGTTGCCTGTGGTTGTATGTGATTCATTTTTACTGTTATGTAGTATTATATTTTACATATATATGCATACGTATGTGTACTTCAATTTATATATAAACTTTCCTAAAGCTTAATTAAACATATAAACCTATACATATTTTGTATACAATTTGGATCGAAGTATATCTGTAATTAATATTGTAATTTTTCACCACTTACATTATAAGAAAATTTATAGTTTTAATTAAAAACTCTTTGTGACCATAATTTTATAACTTTATTTCTTTTATTTATGAATCATATTTCCTTAAGCCATTTTCTAATGATAGAATTTGATTTTCCTCCAATTATTTCCTAATAAGTATAACATAAATATCTTCACAAAATTTTTCTTTAAGGCTTTATTTCTCATTATTTTATAACAACACATTTCCAGAAATAGAATTGGTTATTCAAAGAGAATAAGTGTTTTGAGGCATTTTATTCATTGAAAATTACTTTTATAAGAAATTGAACTAAAGTTTTTCTTCTACCAATTTTATATGCAAATAGGTTTTTGTCTATGCCCTACAATCATTGGGTATTTTCAAAAACAAATAAAAGACAAACAAACTTTGCCAATTTGTTAGGCAAAATTTTGTAATTCATTGTTATTTGCATTTGCATTAGTAAAATGAATGATAGTTCATTATTTGTTTTTCCTCTTTTGTAAAATGTCTGTTTATATAATTTGCCTATTTAATCCTACTGCATTCTTCTTTTATTAAAAAAGAGGCAGGACTACTAATTCTTCAGTGACTCATTTGATCATGCAGATGGTGCCAACCATAAAATGGTTTGTTTTCTTGACCGAATTGATTACTTTCCTGTGAAAGAACCCAGGGAAATGAATTCTAAGTGATGTGACTTGTCCAATTCCCAGAAGCATAATGATTTCAGTAGGAAGAGTTATTTTTGGTGATGGAGTTTTTCAGAAGAAAATATTTATATAACTCTGAAAAGTCAGTTTTCACATGCAAATTTACTCTTCTGCATTATAGAAAGAGTCCAGTTGTCGAACTGCCTCATATTTTTTCATCACTGACATTTCAATATCCTTTTATTTCCTTCTAATCTCTTTTTCTCTTCCACTCAGCTCATGAAAACCAACACACACTGGAGCCAGACCAAGTTTCTAAAGATATTTACTTATCTGTTTTTTTCTCTCAGAAATGAATAAGAATTGCTTTCAAAAAGCCCAAGTATAGGAGTTAGATCTTAGCATTACATACATGACACTCTCTTTTCTTTTCTAATGACTTCTCTCATATTCCTACTTATTTTCAACTACTCTGTTTCTACTTGCTCAGTGTAATGATCTCTATTTAGTCACGCTTAGTTTTGCTATAAATACTCAGCAGCAAATCAAGATTTTAAGCATGTTTAAACAGAGTTTAGTATTTTATTGATGTTTAGTTCAAGGACCTTAGAGTTAAACTGTCTTGGTTTAAAATAGCATCTCTGCCACCTTTTAGCTACATATCTTAGTTCTACCACACTGGAAACTTTTCTGAGATTCACCATTGCAAGGATTAAATGGTATACAGTAATTAGAAAGAGAGTTTAGCACTACACATAGCAAAGAGGAAGCAATCACTAACTGATTACTCTCATAAGACATCTAAATACTTTTGATATATTTTCTTTGCCATATTTTGGGGGAAAGGACAAAATGAATACTTTCCAGAAAATACAAAATACAACCAAAGAACAAATAACTTGCCTAATGAAATGTGTGCAAATTCCAGTTGCTAGATTAGTGGAGTGACTACTGTCTCAGTATTTATTTTTCTGTATTCATTAGGATAAATTTTAAAGCAATGGTTTCCAGTGTATCACAGATTCTGGAGACTCTGTAGACCTCACTTAGGAGCTAATGGAATCAAAGACCCAATGGGCAGCATTCTGTCTCTCCTCTACTAGAGCAGGTCCACTTTCCACTTTTTTCTTTTTCTGTAGAGAGTATTTTGTCTTCTGAAGGAGGCTGCTGTTTTGCTTGCAGATGACAGACACTTCTGAGATTGGTGTCTCAACATTTTGACTCTATCAAAAATTTTCAAAATGGACAGAACCACTCAACTCTTTGACTCTATCAAAAATTTCCTAAGATGGACAGACCCAGCCACACAATCTATAGGTCACATGCTAAATTAAAATGCAGGCCTCTTTAAAATTTATAAGGAACTTGAGGACAGTGACAGCAGAACTTAAACCAAATCAGGGGCTCTTCTGAGTGTAGGGTCCTCTGTGACTGCACAGGTTGCAGGCCCATGAAGCCAGCCCTAAAGATGGGACAGGACAAGGCCTGGGTGGACACAGATGTATAGGATTCTACTGCTGGGGCTTCATCAAGGTTCCATAGGAAGGGAGGCAGTGTGCTGCCAAATGTTCATCAGAATCAGCAGGTTCCTCTTCCCCGCTTCTGTCACCAGTGTGCTGAGGCTTCTAGCCATTAATTAGCATGCTGGCATTGTTTGCACGAATCATGCCTCCACAGCCCTGTTCTGATGGAGCAGTGAAAAGGTAAGTCAGCTTTAATATCAAACTAAAAGAAATGAAACATATTTGAGAAGCTGTTTCTAAGTTGCATATATTTTAGAAATCTTCTCTACCTCATTAAAATTAATAAAATATTTAGCAATCTTAATTTAAAAGTGAGCAAATTGTTTCTGGAAGGTACCCGTTTCCTAGAAGAGAGAGTCAATACTGAGAATGAGAGTGTCCAATGAACTGCTGCTTTATGGTTTATTATCTTTTCTTTTCTTTGGCTTTTTAGATGAAGACATAGCTATAAGTTTTCTGTATTCCATTGGATTGATAGCCTGGCAACGTCAAAGCTGTAGACCTGATGAAGCAGAGCATACATTATGATGTAAAACCTTTGATTATATGTCTCTACCACAATTTGGGATAAAGGCTCTCATGGCAAAACAAAACAGATAAACACAAAAGTGTTTTTTCCCCCCTAGTCAAGGGTTCATTTTTCAGTTTCTTTCCCCTAGGTCTACTTCAAGGATGCCATATCTGAGACACTTTCAGATTCTGCTATTTATTAGCTTTGATTTAGGAGGCCTACTCTTAGGAATATCAAGCTGTCAAACATCAGGTGCCTCTGGATTTATCTTTTTTTGGGCTATTCTTTTGCAACATGAAAGCTGTCTTGCAGGAGACCTTCTTTGTCATAGGGCTCTCCTAAAAGTGCACACAATTAAAATATTAATAACAGCCACTTGAAATTAGTTGGGACAGTACAGTGTTGTCATGCCTGACACACTGTCCAAACTCCCTACGTGTTGTTTTGGATGTTATAGAGCCCTTTCCAGCTTTCTTCTTCAATACTGAGCCACTGGTTCCCCAGCTGCTCGGGAGGATGTCAGCTCATGGCTTGCCTACTGACTTCCTCTCTGGGAATTGCCTTGGCCTAGGAGTGCTGCCTTCCCAGTACAGACTAACTTTGATAACTGGTAGACAGAAAATTTGAAGGCCTGATCCTCTCACTCCAACGGGGAACACCTCTGAGGGAAATCTATACCAGCTTCAGAGTTTCTCGTGGCCTTAGTTGGTCCAGGCCTTCGTGTGACTGTGTCACAGACTTCTCCCTTGGTCCAATCCTGCTCCCTTTTTCTCCTATAGGTATTAATCCAACAGCAGAACCAACTATGTCTCTCGTGGGACTCAGTACAAAATGAAAATGCAGAGTGCTTCAAAAAGCAGGAAAAGAGTGCCACTAAAGATACTAAAACATAAAGCTTTCCCCTTTCTTCCGTGGCTTCTCTCTTGCTTTGTCCAGATGTTTTTACTGTTGTTGTTATTGTTGTCTAGTGCCATTCTAGGTAAAGAAATGTTAGTTTTTTAAATTATTAGCATGAATTTTGGTGTTAATCTTCAGATTGTGCAATGCTTGTTTTAAAGGCAAACATAGAGCATTTAATTCATATTTTGAATCATTGAAATTACACAATTCATTTTTATAGTAGTGTGAATATGTGTCCCTCCAAAATTTATATGTTGAAACCTAATCACCAATGTGATGGTAACAGAAGGGAAGGCCTTTGGTAGATAATTAGGTCATGAGGGCAGGGACTTCATGAATGGAATTTGTGCTGTTATAAAAGAGACCCTGAAGAGTTCCCTTGCTCCTTTAACCATGTGGGGACACAGGGAGAGGGCCCCATCTGTTAACCAGAAAGCTGGCCCTCAGCAGACAACTGAATCTACTGACCCCTTGGTCTTGAGCTGCCCAGGATCCAGAACTGTGAGAAATAGAGTTCATTCATTTATAAGCTATCCAGGTGACGGTGTTTTGCTAGAGTGTCCTGAACAGTGTAGGACAATTTTTCATGTCTCATACATGTACTAATATCTACTCATTCCTTCCCTTGTGCTCCCTTTATATCTTTCTATACCTGCAGGTAAGGAATTTGGCCCAGAATTAAGTAAGAGAACATGAAGGTATGATTTAAACAATCATGGGTTGAGAGGTATGGAGAACTTACTAACATTGTTCTGAGAAATCTATATTATTTGTGATTCCAATAGCAAGAGAAGCTTCTCAAGTGGTCAGAAATATTTAAAGAATTCCTTTGAAAACTATATGCCAGTACATGGCACATATTATTTGCTTATAAAAGTATCTAAGATGTTTAACACATTTTGATTGAATGTAGTACTTAGGTAAAGTGAGCAGTCATAGAAATAGTAAGCATCTGTATCCAAGTAATCTAACTTGGGAAATAGTAATTTTAATTATTTATGGGCTAGATAAATGATATTGGAACATGTTTTTTATGAGGCACTATGCACCTTTGTGGAGTCCTTCTGCAGGTCTCAAAAATAATGAGCTACATACAGTATCATTTGTCACCAATTACATGAATCAGAAAGTCATGAGTGTTTTCATAGTTTCAGTGCTACATACTTTATTTCCAAGGCATATTCCTAGTTTATATATCAATTCTATTATACTTCATTAACAGAAAATAGAAAGATATTTATCAAAGCATTATAGAAATAATTTTAGCAGAAAGAAAACGTATGCATAGAATCTTCTGAGAAATATTTTAAGTTGTATTATTTGGGAGGAAGTATTGATACTGCATTATTTAATTATCTGAAGAAAGGGAATAAAATGTATTAATTCATCAGTTTATAAATCCATAGTACTCATTGCTGAATTAATTAACTTCATATTTATGTGCTTCTTTTTCTACTAAATTCAGCTAATACTATGTTTAGGATTCTCTCTAAAATAAACAAACAAAAATCACCATTTTATGAGTTATAAAAGTGGATTCTTAGGTGTTTTACAGCCAACCCACACAAGCTCTTAGAAGAAGGCAAACCTAACATATCTAACTAGCCCCTTAGTGCTTTTTTATCTTTTCCAGTGTTCTTAAATTTTAATGATGGTTGTCACCATCAAAATAAGGTTTTATTTCACATAAGCTATAGACAATTATCCTTCACTGGAATTACAATCAGAGTCCTAATTACCTTACTAAAATATTTGCTTCCTATTTATAAACAATAACATGGTTTATTTAGATTTAATATGTATACAGAAAAGTTTTCAGGAAATGATTATTCAGTTATAATCTAGTACTTTGTTTAGTGGGCAGATGGGTTTTACTTAGAAGTTCTTATCATGGCATCATTAATTTTTGCAGAGCACTAATTTCTATTTTTCCCTCCTTTTTGATTTCTAAGGTTATAACCCGTTTTTATGAGTTGTACCAATGTAATATAGTAAGGGGCCCTGTAAACAAGGGTTACTACAGAATAGGAATATAAAATCAGCTCACATCACCCATTTTTCTAACTTGAATTTTAGGCTGTCCATCATTACACAAAAGGACCTATTTATGGATGGGGAAATGGGACCTAAGTCAAACCTTTAAAAACGGACTTATTGGAAAGTGTATTTTAAAGTTCACATTTGGAGTAAGTGAAAATTGAATGAAATCACTTATTTAAGGTACATCAAAATCATTAGGCCATAAAACCCTTGACTCAGTATCATGAGGAAGGTCACATTTGATGTCAGGTTATTAAAAACAGAAAATGAAGGAAGAGCAGGTCAAGCCAAACCTGAAGCTGTGACGAGCTGATGAAGCAAAGATAGAATCTGTATCTATAGCTGTGTAAATATCTATATGTCAATTTCTATGTCTACATCTAAAGTTATTACCATAGAGAACAATGAGTACAGAATGAGCGGTTGGTGAATATCATGCATATATAGGGCCAATCCAAGATAGGGGATATCTAATCAGACATGAGGACACAGGACAGGCGATTGAAATCAGAGTGAAAGAACAGAAGTAGAATTTGGGCTTAAACAAAACATTTATTCTGGACCTGAACCAATAGAGAATGGCAAAGCCAAGATTAACATCTTAGATTCAATATAGATAGAATCATTGGGGTTAGATTATTTATATTATTTTAGGAGCTACCTGCTCTGGGTATTAGTAACTCACTTGAAAGATGAATGTCACTATTTTGCAAAGCAGTCTCTCCATGGGGAACTCAAAGACTGTAGGATACACATACATGGCATGTCTTTCAATGTATGGAAATATAGAAAATATTGTTTGGCTCAATGAGAGTTAATAAGCCTAAAGGTTCTGAATGGTCTTATATTGTACTCTGAATTTGGATCATTCTTAAATAGATTAAATTTATTTTCCAGTGTAAAAATTTTTGTCCACAACACATGGCATGTCTATACTGTATATATAATTAAAAGCAGCAGCTACTCCATATCTGTATGGAACTTTAGACATTGCCATTTATTTGATTATTACAGTACCTGTTGAGAAAGGGATCACTGGCATTATTTCCATTTTATAGATGAAGAAATGTTTCAGAAATAATGCATCCACTAAATTTCAAATGCCTAATATAGGGGAAGGCAAGAATACTAGAAATGCATCTTCCAATTACTGGTTAAATACGACTGATACTAAGCAATCTTATATTCACTAAAGCTACCAGGTTCTGTTTGGCATCTATGTTTTCCTTACTACTTAATTTTTTTGTTGTTTAATGAAAGCTATATAGGGTAAAATTAATTAATGTAATTTGCCATTTAATCACCTTAGAATACTCAGGGTTTGATTTAGAAAATATCAATGATATGCATTCCATTCATGGAATAGAAGTAAAGGGACATTCTAACTGAGGCATTGGCAAATTTTTAATTTTTAATTCTGTAAAGAGACAGATACAACTTTGGCTTTGTTGACCATATAGTCTCTGCTGCAAGTACTCAACTCTGCACAGACAATGCATAAGCAAATGAGCATGGCTGTGTTCCATTAATAGAAACAGATCTCTGCTCTAGATGGTGAAGCGAGCATCTTTTCTTACCGTCACAATACCTAAGTGGTCTCAAAAACACAAAGAAAGCTACCCTACTCCTCATATCCTTTTGGAATTATTTTAATACCATATACCTATATTAAATGGTTTCTACTCAGAAACCGATAAATTTGATTCAAAAAATAATGCTGATAAAGAGAAATCAGGTAACATATCAAGAAATAAAAACTATTGTAGAGATGACTTATGCATGGTTATATATATGACATTGACAGCATATCCTTAATTATTACATTATTATCTGAATTTGAGGTCATTTTAATAACAAAAATTCAAGTTTTAGGAAAAGTTTTTGCAATAATACACATGAGTAATTAAAATGTTTCTAAGACAATATATTATTGAACTAATGAAAGCTTCATAAATTGAAAGAATAAACTTGGAATGCTTATTTGTTCATATGTTGTAATGATAGATTTAAAAACGCTTTCATGAAATATATGTGTATGTTTACAGTCTTGAGATTACTTCCATTTAAGTCTTTACTATTTGATTTTTGATATCTTTTCAGGGTAGCAATTTTAGAAGAATAATAGCACGCAATAGTAAATAATTATTGTAAATCCTTATCATCAAAGTTACATTCTTTAGGTGTTTTTTGATTATACAGTTGGGAAGTCAGTGCAATTTAGAAATGAATTCCCTTCCCCTATGAAATCAGACATTAGCTTGAAATAAAGCCTTCAGACATACCCAAGCCAAAGAGGAAAATATACATATCCCATAGAGATTGTCTACCTTTTTAAAAAAAAGAAAAAAAAAAGCTAAGGTGCTTTGATTAATGTCCAGCTTTCTACATAGCCTAATTTATAAAACTACCTCTACCAATATACTCTAAAATCATATATGTAATTTAATGATTTATATTTAATACAGTAATGTAGATTTTTATCAAATAATGAGAGAACTTAGGAAATACTGATCTTTAGTGTACACACATGTATCAATTTTTATGGAGTATTTTCTTTTCAACATGTAACATATATGATATATTTACTAATATTTCTTCATTTACAAATTTTTATGCCTTTCAATTTATTTGTGTACAATTTAAATAATTTGTTTGATTATTTGTCTTTGAGACAGAGCCTTGCTCTTTCAGGCAGGCTGGAGTTCAGTGGTCCAAAAATGGGTCACTGCAGCCTCTGATTCTCATGCTTAAGTGATTGTTCTGCCTGAGTCTCTCAAACTACTGAAACAACAGGCATGAGCCATCATGTCAGGCAAAATAATTTGTGTAGTACCCAAAGCATAATTAATTAAAATATATCTATACTCTCATTGTAGGGCATACACTGCTGTTCAGTTGATTTTCTGTCCAGTGGCCACTCCTCTTGACTTTCAATATAGGAACAGCTCAGTGATTTTCCCATAGGAAATCATTACTTTCCACTTCTCATTTCGTATGGTAAAGGAATAAATATTTCACCCAGCTTAAGCACATCAAGTTTATTCCTTTCCCACAGCCATATTGATTTATTTAATAATAAGCAGGTGACCCAAGTGGAACAAAGGTCAAGTTCAGGACTTTCGCTGGAAATACTGAGACACAGGTGTTTTCTTTTGATAATGTCCTTGAACAATTTGAATATGCTCTTGTGCAGGCCCAACATAAAATGTTTGAAAATGAAATCAAGGGGAATAGAAGAGAACTGTGGACAGATGACATAAATGAAATTTTGAGCTATATCAGTAATGAAGCTCACTCTCCCTCATCCCTTTACCTTTTGGTTTGTTTGTTTTGTTTTTGGCTTAAGCAAGTTAAAGAGCGTTTGTTATCACTTAAAACTAAAAGGGTCTTGACTAGGACACTGGACATCTACAGAAGTTCACTGGAGCCATTTATTGTATTTCCTTTCAGTTGTTATGGATGAATGCATGAATGCATTTGTCATCATGATCATTTTTTACAAAATTATATGAAAGATTAAGACTATTAAAAATAAATTTTATCTTATATAGTTTTAATTAAACAGTGATATATTACTAGTCAGAAAAAGTTAAAATTGTAAAGAACTCTTAGTTGCTAGAAAAACAAAAATATCAATCTCCGCTTCAATTTGTAAAAGACAATAAAAATTGTAAATAGGAAATAGACACAAAACACAGTAAAAATAATCTAGTATAATCTAAAGAGAAGATAAAAAAAGGCTAAACATTTCAATATTAACAATAATATAGGACGGGCGTAGTGGTTCACACCTATAATC